AGTATTATTGGGAATAAAATATAATCCAACAGCAGACATATGGAGTTTTGCATGCATGATTTTTGAAATGCTAACAGGAGATTATTTATTTGAACCAAGACAAGGGCCTAATTTTTCAAAGAATGAAGATCATTTAGCTTAGATTCAAGAATTATTGGGTAAATTTCCTTATGACTATGGAACATGAGGAGCAAAAGCTAAAGTATGAATATAAATTAAATAAATCGATACCCTTCTCAGAATGGAGTAATGAAGAGAATTCAACATTTACATTTCTGGAATTTATATATTGTTTTGTCTGAGAAATATAGATTCAAGAATTAAGAAGCTTTGTCATTCTTTTCATTTATTTACCAATGTTATATTAGATGCCAGAGTATCGTACAACTGCTTAGGAAACACTTATGAGAGAATTATGTTGTAATGTGAGTAGCGGATATGTTTTGAAATGTTATATAGATCAAGTGTTCCAATTCTAAAATTTCAGAGAATATATTGGATTATCTTGTTTACTTAAAAGTCAGTTAGGTCGATTATTTCAATATGCTAAGGAAAAATTAGAGTCTTCTATATCCCATTTATATATTAGTCATCAAATGACAATCCTGCTAATTTTAAAAACTTCCAAATATTATAACAACCTCTACTCAGTAAGGGTACTTATTTATTTCCAACTGCTTTTTTAGCTATAGCTTACTATTCGACAAAAACTACAAACACTTTTTAAATGATATGTTGGCTTTTTGTTTAGATTGAAACTACTGTTGATAGAACTAATGCAGGGAAATGTTTTTTGATGAACAGGTCCACATCAGCAGAAACTTAATTATTGCTTGCTAATAGCTTAAATTATAGAATTCTAGAGGACATAAAATCAAAGGCAGTGTTGATTATTTATTACCTCATATTCTGCTTAAGTTTATAATCGATAATACTTCTACAAAACAGTTAAAGGAGTCAAAAATCTTATTATTTCTGTAACATTTTAAGAAGTAAATTGTCAAATTTTGACAGTATATCTTTATTCTTCCATCCATTAATTTCTAAATAAACTCAATATGGAATAGTTTTGTATAAAAAAGCAATAATTATCATAATACAACCAGTAGTAACGATATAAATGCAGTTTTTGTTATATTTTTGGATTTATCTGATTGATATTTGACCAATTTTGTCTTATGAGTTTTGTTTTTTAATTTATT